TAGATCTTGATATTTTTTATCGAGCATAAGAAACACCGGTATTTCGAATACAAAAACAATCATCAAATTTGATTGACTAAGAATGTTCTGCAGTAGGTTTTGAAACTAATTAGGAATTAAACACATTTCTAATCTTTAAAGTCGGTTGAAAACCAATGTATAAATACCCATATGAGTATTTTAATGGTCCGTCGTATAAAACGAGTATTTCGGTCCATTTGATTCAGCCGTCACTTTTATCAACGTCCTTTATCAGTGTCCGGCTATTTTTGTCTCATTTCCGCAAGGGTCACATAAATTGATTTCGCAGCCAGATGGATCCAAGGGTCAGTCTGTTGAAATTAGTGGACGGTTTCCGTGGACTTGTTCAGGTGAAAACGGTCAATCAATATGCCGTGTACATTCTAGGACCACCAAAGGTCCACAAATATTTTTTAGACAGTGTATAAAAGTTCGGGATTCGATTGTATATAAATTCTACTTGCAGAATACTGATGGTCCACCCGACGGAAAATGGTAACTGTCGGATATACTTAGTTATAAGATTTATAATAATATAATCTAACAATTTGTGTTATGAGTACTAGACTACGGATAGAAATAAAATACAGTTTTTTACTCATAAACACTAATGTTTGCATCGTGCAAAAAATCGAATTGGCGACCATCGGAAGTAACACGATGTGCTTAACCGCTACAACACCATGGTCGACAATACCCAGAAAGTCCCCCAACATTATTAAGCAATGTACTGTTCTGAATTTGACTGTGTGTAACTTCTGTGGTTTGATAAATAAGGCCCACCCGATGGAAAACGGTAAGTGTATAATTAAAACACTTAAATACTATTTATTTAAAATGTATGATACATGACGGATTTAAGTAATGCCTGATGGCATTCTCTACCAGTCAACCATCACACAAGGTTTTACAAACTCGAATATTATTTTAGAAAATATTCTCTATATTACTCATGCCCCATGGCAACTAATAAAAACATTTGCATTGATTGCAAAGTTTATGATACCTTCAATAACAAACAGTGAACATTGTTTATTTGTATGTAAATTGTGCAACAGATTATCTGTAGATATAGAATTATGCATGCAAGCCATATAAAGGTAACAATAACAATAGCTGCCTGTATTGAGGTGTAGCCAGTGTAACAATCAACTTAGCATGCCTTTTGCACAACGTTATACATACATACGAGTACATACATGACGCCTATCCCTCATTACGGTGGGCAAAAACAAAAGAACGTAAATGCCAAACGCTTCCTTAAAAATACACAGACATAATCTCTGATCACCGCGACGGTTGACTGGTATAGAATGCCATCAGGCATTGAGTCCGTTATGTATACAATTTTGTATGCAAAAGAATAAATACTCCCTACCTCAAGTACAAATATACATGTAAAAAAGAGGATATTTTAATTACAAACAAGTTTTGCAATTTAAAAAATTTATAATATTAATGTTATTTTCCTATATGTAAATGTGGGTCATTAATTGCGTGAAATAAAGAAATAAATATAACTTGAACTTTCAAAACTTAAAATTCAGCTTAAGTTTAATTTATAGGAACACGTAAATTCATCTTAACGCCTAAACTTATTCGCCTAAGTAATACATGAATCAATCATGTATTACTTAGGCGAATAAAACTTGCAATTATAAATGCGGAATACAATAAACTACAAGAGAGACTTACATTTGCAATTTCATCGTAAACTATAATATACATGAAGTACATTTGTGAATTTGTCTTAAAAAACTTACGTCAGTAAAATATACCACCTTGTATTAGAACAAATGAGCAAAAATGCGTCATTTGGAGAACTATTCCATATTTATAAAAAAATTGTATTAACCTATTTTAACAATCAGCTGTTTACACATTTTCTTTAGTTTATTATTAAACAAAGTAGCAAAACAAAAAATATTTAATGTGTAAGTAAGAAATTTGTATTTTTAAAGGTAATTGTTTTGTAGTAAGTACATACATAGGTAAGCGTATTTTTCTGTTTTTTTTATTAGTAGGTATAAAATGTTATCCTTAACTGAGTGTCCATACAATGTTTGTTTTATTATAAAAAGGTATACAGTTAATTAACGTAAACAATACTGTAACAATGAAGTAATAAAATTATTCAAACAAAAACCATCATATGTTGTTTTTCAAACATATTTTTACAGTTTTTTATAAATTTCTGTTATATTAAGTACTTTGAATTAAAAAAAGTATATTCGAATGTCGATAGTGGTAGACGTTTGGCACACTGCATTAATTTCGTTGCTCGATACAAATATTTGTATTTAATGAGTATAACTGTTTGTGTTATTTACAAAAATAAAAGTAACGCGCTTCCCTAGAGACTACAGAATGTGGTTTATCAAGAAGGATATATTCGGTTTTATATATATATATTTATAGGGTCGGTAACGTGCACGTGACATTATAGTGTTACAAGTATCGTGCTTGTTTGCTACCATCGGGGTATAGAAAAAATCTTTGCTGCAGCTCTGCTTCTGATATTTTATGTAGTAGTTTTAGCAACAATTATTACTCACTCAAAACCGCCTATGCCACTGTTTTGGGTTGACTGGAAGAGGTTTCTTGTAGGGATAATTTTACCTTTGCTCACATTGTCTCTAAATTATATTATTCATGTATTATCTGTGCAATAAAGAATATAGAAATAGTGTGGGACTAGATGGCGCTGTGTAGTCCATAATTATTATAATAGCTTATTAATTACCGTGAGTGAAATAATAGAGTTATTCAAGCAAACACTATTGAATGTTTCTTAGCATAATTATCCTATTTATCTGTTTTTGTTGGAGACCAGAAATAGCAAATGGTTAACTAACAATAACAATGACAATTAACACTTGCTTTTCCCATGAGAAAAATCCGTTTTTAATAAGGAAGTGTAAGAAAGACATGGGAGTGTAATGTTGCATTGTTTCATTTCATGTATACAATGAAATGACACACAGACAATTGAGATGTTTCTTTAACCCTTCGAGAGAAAAATGTTGTTTCCATTCTAAGAGTCCACAGTTTGTCAAATTAATTCCCATCAGTGGACAGCCTTATTTTTCTTTCTTTTTGCATAGTGTATTATTACATTTCATGATGACAATGAAATAAGATACTGATTGATATGATAACAATTTTGTTTCTAAGCATTCACAGTTTATAGAAAATTCCAACTTGACTTGGAGTAAGTATTCTAAATAATGAATAGAAAAGAATATAAAATTGTCTTTCTTTTTGAGCAACTATTTCAATCAATCTCTTATTAAGTACTAGCTACCCGCCTCACACGGGTGTACATGTATTATACATATAAACCTTCCTCTTAAATCACTTAATCTGTTGCTAATAATTGCATTAAAATCAGTTATGTACATAAGCTGAATTATCAGAAGATACTTTTACTCATCTGAATTAGCACTTTTGGTAGACATATATGTATATATACATAATATACATCATTTAAAAATTGTAAAGTTGAACAACATTTGTTTAAATAAAAGAGCTACAGGTAATTTTCTTGGTCATTTGTGAGCTTTCCATATAAAACAAGCTATTCCATATAAGTAGAATAAAACATACAACTATTCAAAATTGTTTACATGAATAAAGATTATTTTTATTTTATTATTATAGGTACTTAGGAACAAATAAATTAAATTTATACCTTATTTTATACTACCAATGGTCTATCTTTTAGTGCAAGGGGAGTGCCTTAGTAGAGAGAGAAAGGAGGAGGGAATTAATGAGTCTAATATATATAATACTGGGTAGTTAATTGGCCAAGAAAGATTGACTTTAGTCATAAGGGCACCTGTGAGTACGGAATTGGCCAAGCTAGGACTTCATTGTAACTGTCTTGACTCAGGTTGAATGAGGGAATCTTAAATCATAATTTCAATCTCCATTAAAATAGGTCTAATTATAGGCCATCAAGTTAATATTTAACTCATGGAGGTTAATCATAAATTATTTTAAAAAGTGTTTCAATAAAATGCATATAGTTTACAAACAAATTTCATAGGTATAATAATAGTTGTTATTACCATAAATAACTTTGTTGTAAGAATGTAACTATAAAAAGGAAAACTTGCAATTGTTTGTAATGCAATTTTCCCTATCAAGTATATAGGTGGCATAATAAATACCAATGTAAATTACTTCACTGTAACTTTATATATAATAGTTTTTGTAGTATGCTAGTTTTTCTTAATAGCTTAGGAGACAAACAATGTTGAGGCAGACCTGATGGTAAGTGATTATAAATGCCCATTATCACCACAACACCAGAGAAATTGCTAATGAGTTGCTGGCCTTTTATAAAGGAATCAATTTTTCTTATCTGTCTTTCTTTAAGTTTTTAATATTATATATATCAGAAGTACTATTGCTGGGAGGCAGTTCCACAGACTCATTATTATGTTAGTTTGTTTTTAAAGCTGGTACCACCTGCTGGTAAGTGACAATAAGAATGAATATCACATTTTTATATACCCCAGCATCACTCATTCAAATGTTATGGAGGAATAATATCACTACCATACCTCATCCTCTATTCAAAACAACTGTCAAAGACTAAAATGGGTGTGACAGAAGTACTGTAATCATAAAAAAATTACAATATTAATATGAAATGCTACATGTGTCCTATTTTACATTACTTCCTACTAAAGTCATAACACCCTGTGCCCCGTTCTTGATTATACCCTTTAGAAATATATCCTTTTAGAAAACTAATTTCTTTAAATAATTCTGTAAATCTCTTGGGAGTATATGTACGTTTTTATAGCCCAGCCAAGCCAAGCCAAATGAAGGAAATGTATTCATTAATTTTGAATAGGGATATAGTTTCAGTGATTTTATGCTTATTAACACAGACCATAATAAAGTACAGGATATCGTAATAAACAATGATAGGTTAGGTATGTACATTGTATTAAATGCACTAAACTTACCTGTTACCGAAGTTTGTCCTCCAAAACTCGGCCGCATCACTCTTCGTTATACGGAACTGGTCGCCTGCAAACGTTCCATTCGGGAACATCGCTTTCAGCTCACTTAACATATGACTAAACACGAGACTCAGTTTCGTCAAATTTCGTCTATAATGAGAGTTCTCGTCAAACATTTTCTCTTTACCTTCCTTGAACAACTTTATAGCCTGCTTACACTTTCTTATCAAATTATTAATAAATATATTAAAATGTTCATTATTATTCAACGCCTGCATGTTATCCTCATATTTTGAGTATATAACCCGTAACCGCTGATATGTATCCGGCAATATATCCAGAATAAACGGAGGACTGTTTTTCAAATTCATTTTGTGGTGTTGACACAGTTTTACAACTTTGTCCATTAACTTCCAAGTCTTGTCTAATGTCCTCTTATCCGTCGCGAACTTTGTGGGACACACCGCATCCGAGAAGGCGCCGTGTAACTTCGAAAATATCGAAGATATGTTTTTCTGTTGTGATTTGTGACGGGGGGCCGCCATGTTGTCGGTGCGATGACATACAAAAAACAACAATTTTTAACAGGACACTGACCTCAAAATGCACTTATCACTTAATAATTAGGTATTCTAACGTGTGGTTTCTCATTATCACATAAACGCACCACATTTACAAAAAAAATGTAATAACACCAGACCACGATCGTTCACTATCACATCGACAACGCGTATGACAATTTGACAAATGAATGACAGAAAAAGACAGAAGAGGCGAGCGAGCGAGAGGAAATGAGCGAATGGTGAATGAAATGGAGTAGGTACAGAGAAGGCCAGTGTTACTATTTACCGCATTTCACCCCAAAATATCCAAATTAAGAGGTTATTTTCAAACATTGCTTAACATCCAAACTGAACAAAATTTTTCAAGAACATATAATATCAATACAATATTTATTCCAAAATTGAATTATCCATATTCAATTCAATAAAATATAAGAATAAATTAATAATGTTCATTACGTATAATACTTGCTTTTGTTTGACGTTTACAGAAAAATCACATTTACAATAAATTAAATAAAAACAATAAATCTAAATACGGAATATTTGCATCGTAATATTTATGTCTGTTTGTGAATAACACAAAAACAATTGTTTTTGAATATAAATAATATCCCATATCAATAAATGATTATTTCAATCTGGTAATTTGGAATATGCGTTTTGTTGCTACTTAGAATGCTGTATAAAAAAAGACTGAAAAAGTAAGTAATTAAATTTATTCAGCTAATTGCATTTAAAACAAAATATTGATTATGTAAATATATTCATTTTCAATTCAATTTATAATTTCATCGTAACAAATTAAGAGGAAACCTTAGCGCCATCTATTAGCGTGCTTCTTGATTCTTAAAACATCATGGCAATTTACGTAATGTTTAGATATAGTGTCGATAGATGGCGCTATTACGAAATAAATAATTTATATCTTAATTACTAGATGGAGTTATAACGAATTATAAATATATGAAAACAAAATAAAAGCTATCAATATTTTGTACAAATTAAATAAGAAATTAGTCCTCGTATTCTTCTTCGTTTGCGTCAGTAGTAGTCGTTAGGCGTTTCTTGTGCTTTCGTCTCTTAACATGTGGTCGACCAGGTCGCTTGGATCTAAAGAAAAAACAATTAATTCAGCTTATCAAAATTTTACAATAATTTGACAGGATTCAAGTTTTTATGGAATTGCCTATTTAAATCAAGATATTATAAAACTAGCTGAGCTAATTAGCTACCAGTATAACATTATTTTTTTAATTGGAGTAAAAAACATTCTTGAAGCACAGAACCACATTATATTACCACAGTATGTAGTGGAAACCGCACTCAAATCGGTTCAGCCGTCTCTGATATTAGCATAGAACAACTGTCAAAAAGGTTTTTTTATTATCGTTTGAGTAACTATAACGTTAACATAGTTCTCAAATAGCAGCTTGTGTCATATGATTATCTTCCATGCATAGACATTGTTCAGTAGTGTTTTATTGTAGATAGAAAGAGATAGACAAATAAAATAAAAATTACCTATTCCTTAAAACATTAGCGAATGAAAATATTTAGTAAAAGCTGTCAATTTGAAATTACAAACAACCATTTCAATTTTGTTTATTTGTATCTATTGTATATATACAAATAATATATGTAGCTAATTCGTAATACATATGGATTGGGTATTTTTTTAGTTAATTCCCACCTAGTACATACTTCTATAAAAAAAACTATGGAATATTTAATCCCTTGCACCAATATAGATACCCTATCAGATGAACTTCTGTTGAATATTTTGGTGAATTTGCATTAAAGATAGACCTTAGTTACTATGAACGTCTATGAACGTACTGATTCTTCTCGCTTTTTGTTACTCATGACTTTTTGAGTAATGTACCTATATAAAAGAAATAAAGATATTTACCTCTCTTGAGATTTAACGGTTAAAAAAAAAAGAAAGGCCAACTAGGACCAGGTTTTCTATATTAATAACTACCTACCCGCCCCGGTTTCGCACGGGTGTACATCTACCTATTACACTTATAAACCTTCCTCTTGAATAGCGCTTTCTATTGCTAAAAAATCAGTTAAAAGCAACTACCGACTACATGTAAAACAGCGCTTCTACATCTAACTGCTGTGATACTCTACATGCGTTGCTATTTCAGAGGAATATTATTTCATACCTAAATTGCCTTTGTAGTGGCATTATCTGTAGTGAAATAAATGTCACTATTCAATCGATACATAATTTGTCTCGATATATAATATATTAACTGCAGAAAAGACATCTATCTAAAATGTGATAGAATTTTGTTTAAACTTTACCTACCAAAAATGCCCCATTGGACAATAAATAATTAACGTTAATATAATATATAATATAATGTTAGTTATTTATTAACACACAAAAAGTAGAAGAAGGAATGGAAAGGAGAAGTAAAGAAATAAACTCTCTTACATGGGTACTTCGTTGCAAGGATTTTTATCATAAATGTAATATTTAAATATGGCTCCTTTAACACCGATCAATATGTTATCACTTGAATCCATAGCAAACGTGTTAACACCTGTCAAGTTAAAATTACGCACAAATTTCGCCGTTTCATTGTCAACGTCAATATGATAGTAATTACTATTCCCATCCATAGCGTAAACATCATCTGACCTGCTTACAAATACATTGATCATCTTATCTGAACGCACTTCTTTAATTTTTATAGGCACTGTCTCCCCATTTTTGAGTACATACAAAATCTCAGTAGCAATATCGACGAAGAAAATATTATTCCTTGTGTCAATTGTCAAACCATGCCCATTCGAAATAGGACTAAATATCTCCAAAGATTGAGTTTCATTGTTGATCTTATGAACTCTGTTTTGCGGCCATGTCGCTATATACATCGCTGTTCCATCGTTAGTAACAGCTACATACATTACGTCTTCACCTAGTGCTGTAGATAGCTCAATAGATCCGTCATCTTTATATTTGTAGACACCGTTATCTGTAGCTAAGTACACGATGTCATTTAGGTTATCTACGCTAGTCGATTGACCAAGTCCTGCTACTTTGATTGTATCAACTTCACCACTGGTTCGTAATATTTGAAGACTCATCTTCATTTCGTTGCTTATTAATGTATAGAAGATATTTCCAGTCTTCCAATGCACCCTCATGTCAGCCGGGATACCGGTTACATTGGTCAGTTGCTCCACGAAAGCATACACACCATTTAAAGTCAATAGTTCTGAGCATTTAGTGCCTTGGAATTCTTGACGCCTCAGACTTTCCCTGGTGACGACTGGTCCTGCTTCAATCGTTAATAGTATTGCCAGTAACACCGTTACCGATAATTTTGTCATCTGGAACAATAATATGATTATTATTATTCGTTTTAAAATATTCCTTTTAGTGCTACAGTTGACTGGTAAAGAATATCATCAGGTTTTTAAAAACTTTGACTCAATGTTTTTTACGACAGAAGAAAGTGATCAGAAGATACCTTCATTTACATTCATTCATATACCTTCTGATCACGGGGTTGACGAAACATAATCTTCTAAGTTGAGAATAATAAATAATTTGATGTATAGTTTGATTATTGTATTTATATAAAAATGTATTTGCAAATTGTTAGTTTAGTTGTTTAAATAATTAAAGAACTACAAAACTAACGACTATCAATACATAGACTACCAGTTTACTACCATAGATGATAATAGGTGCAAATATGGGTATAATACTATCAAACCTAATCTTAATCTCAATAGTTCTAAACTCGCTTGCGTATTTTCTTAATACATCCAAATTAAAATTGATGAAACAATAAATAATAGATTAAATTAAGTGTGAATAATATACAAAGATTATTTACCTTTATTGTAATTGTAATTTATTTACACCATTAAGTAATTAATTATTATAATAATTAATTAAAAATTATAGGTTCAATAGAAACACGTTTCCTCTCCTCATAATTCGACTACGTACTGATAGAAATTTATCAGCGACACATATATATATATAAACAAAGTCGATGTTTACTATCCATATAGTTATGGATGAAAACAATAGTTTGTTTTCTTATACATTACTGTTTTGAATACTCGAGTTGCAATTAACTCACTGTAAATAATAATATTACAGGAATTTGTAGTTAGTAATCAGTTGTAGGAAACCAACTTAATTTTCCTCCATATATATGATAATAAATAGTAACTAGGTATTTAGAAACATAGTATACAAATAAATAAAATTTAAGTGTCTGTTTGTAATTGCAAATTTCACTAACTGTATATGAAAGTACGAGTATATATGGTAATATTTTGTCAGTCTGTTTGTTTGTTCTCGCTAATCTCTGGAACGGCTGGACCGATTCTGATGGCACTATCAATCCCATATAAACTACATTTATTTTAAAAAATATTTATTTTAATAAAAAATAACCACGCAAACGTAATCTTTTGTAGGTCCGTGTAGATTTTTTGAACGGATTTTACTTTAGAACTTATATATCAGAATAACACATAGACCATACATTTCAAATGGATGAAAGTCGACTGTTTGAATTGTTTCTGTCCACACTATGATGGACAATAGTCGTGATGGCAAATATTACCAACGAAATGTTACTGTATTATTTTATAGGTAACAATCTTAACATTATTATAAAAGCAAACGTATGAAGGTGTGCATCATTTTTCCTCTTTCACACAAAAACTACTGAACGGATTTTGATGAAACTTTATTATTATATAGCTTACCTATGTATCAGAATAACATATAGGCTATATTTTTTATTGTAATTTATATATTGCAAATTAACGTGGGTTAAACCGCGGGCACAGCTAGAGTAATATTATAAATGCGAAAGTTTGTGAGTATGAATGTATGTTATTCTTTCACGCAAAAACTACTGAATGGATTTTGATGAAACTTTACAGTAATATAGCTTATGTATTAGAATAACACATAGGCTATATTTATATATAGAGATTAACTTATATTAATTATTACTGCTAAATAATACTAGCTGTATTAGAATGAAGCTAAGTCAATCACGCTGAATTGTAGAATTGATCTAAAACAAACTACATTAGATACCTACATCAAAAATTACAACATTTTCTAGAAGAGACCTATTACAGGTGACCAATCTTTAGCGGCTTTAACAGACCTCATCCGCCTATATATATGTAACAGTATTACAAGTACATATAAGTACATATATTTCCTGTCTCCTGTATTCTAGAAACGACAGATTATACAAAATTGGGGAGCAGTCGTTTATTAAATGGTCCGTGTTCTGTCCCCATCCAATTGAACGTTGTGGCTTATATTCTTTTTGTTCATAATCAGCAAATGGTTTGTGACCAATTTCATCCTAATACAGCAACCTAATTGGATGAAAGGAAATTTGGAGGTCGTTTTTAAGAGCCTACTACTAGTACACAGTTGAGTTAATATCCCATAAATTAAATACATTATTAAATAATTAATTTAATTATTATTTATATGAATTCGACGACTATAACGATGGCTTCAGCGGTCAGCGGTTTAGCACATCATCTTATTTCCCGCTGGTCACAGGTTCGAATCATCGCATAATACAAACATTTGTATTTATGAGTAAGATTATTTATATTGGTACAAGAAATGTGTTTAAGTAGTAGTATCAGTTGTCTAGTATCCATAACACAAGCTCTTGTCATCTTGAGACTAGATGGCGCTGTGTGAATTGTAGCCCCATCAACGTAAACCGTTAAAGCAAGCGAGATTCCATTATCATCGCTTAAAAAAATTGGGTACAGTGTAAAATAGAGGATGAATGTTTGTGCAGATAATGTAGCGGGTAACTAGTAAGTATATATATTGACGACCTCGGTGGTCTAGCGGACTAGCACACCGCTTTACGACCGATGGTTGCGGGTTCGATTCCTCGCACGGCACAAACATTTGTATTCATAAGTGTGATTGTTTTCTATGTATAATATTTATTTACAAAAAAAAAAATCTATGTATATGTATCAGTACCCATAAAACAAGCTTTAGCTAGCTTAGGTCTAGATGCTGCTGCTGGATGCTGTGTGAATTGTCCTGAGATTATTATTATTATATGTATATTGGAAATTTTCGCAAATTATGAAAGTTTCCAAAATTAGCACCGATAAACAAACCAACTTATAAACTTTCCCTCTTTATAATATTAGGGCAGACAATAATGATCGACAGTAAATCCATCATTGTGCATTGATGCAGAACAAACTTTGAGAAATTAATGGCCGGTATTCCTTCGGCTCGTCTTAAAAAGTTTAATTGTCAGATACTAGAAGATCGTATTCGACAACATCGCGCATTTATTGTTGCTGTAAATTCACGCTTAGGCAATTACCAGAATCCATTTGAAAAATGAACATAATTATATTCTGGTTGTCTCCCATCGGGGCAGACAGTCACAAATAGTCTATTCGCTGGCTTGTATTTTTTTTTATTTATTACTGGCTACTAATGGCTTATATTATAAATACCTTATAGACTAACATAGGTATGAATTAATATTATAATATTAATATAAAATTGTCTCTGTGGTCACGGCACTGACGAAGGCAATCTGGCACGGTAATGCCGATACACTACCCACTTCGGCCAGTAGTCCTCCTCCATGAAGGTAGGCAGCATGTTGGTGGGGATCCGGGCCAAAGACGCCTTGAAACTGACGTAGCGACTCGACTCCAGCTGCGTCACCCTCAATCAGTTTACTTCTGGTCCATATTTAGTCGACAATGTCCTGCTCCTATAAATGTATAATGTTTCTGTTAAAAAAAATGTAGTGCTAATAACAATACAGAGCAATTTTAACAAAACATAGTAGCTTGGATGGTGTAGCTGAGTTACAGTCTGCTTTACTTATGACGGTCGTGGGTTCGATTCGTCGCATGGTACAAACATTTGTATACATGAGTATTCTTATTTGTATTGATCTGACTGTTTTCTACGTATATTATGTATGTATTTACAAAAAACAATGTCTCTAAGTATGTCTATCAGTTGTCTAATGCCATAACGCAATCTCTGCTTAGCTTGGGTCTAGATGGCGCTGTGCGAATTATCCATAAAAAAATGCACACAGCGTTATCTAGCCCCAAACAACATAGAGCTTATACTATGCATACTAAACAATTGATAGAAATACATAATTACGTTCTTTTTTAAATACATAACCTACATAGAAAACAACCAGACCAAGACAAATAATCATAGTTATGAAAATAAATGTTTGTATCGTGCGACGAATTGACCATTGGAAGTAAAGCGGTATGGTAAACAGCCAGTACACCCTGGAGAATCTGAAAACACACATTCATGTGTGTTTTCAGAGAATAATACATAATTCAAACTGAGAATCAGAGGGGGAAAAGGGGATTGTTGGTAATGTGAACTTATGATCTTATTGCTAGCAATGTACCATGTCAGGTTGACCTCCACGCGGTTCCCCCTGGAAACAATTGTGATAAATTCTTGGTGAATTTGTCACGACGGGCTAACTGACCTGACATGACTGACATCTTATCATCCTCCACTGGTGCCCCGCCAGCGTAAACCGTTAGCGCAGGCGGGTGCACCATTCCATTATCATCCATAAAAAAAACTGAGAAACAGATAGATCTTTGTATACTGTTAGAAATTGGTAACTATTAATTCCTGGTGAATTCGTTACGGTGGGCTAACAGTACTGGCTTAATTCTTATTCGATCATCCTCTACTGGTCCTTTGCCAATGTAGGTATACCGTTTGTGTAGGCGGGAACACCATTACATTATCATTCTTAAAATAAAATTACTGCGTCATATTTCACTTTAAATGGAAAATAGACGCATAAAATCGGAACCTCCATTAGTTTTCTTGGCCACATCTTACATACTGCTGTTCTTTTCATCATTTGAGTGAGGTCTGAGAGAGACATCATTTTTCACAACCCCGTGTCACGACAGGTAATGAATGAAACTGCCGCGAATTTCCCAAATCATAAATACTATTACCAAACTACAAATTGAACCTTACATGCAATCAAACAAGAATCATGTTTATTGAATTTAACGGAAAAATTGTGATTGTTTTTTGAGAGTAGAATGGCAAATGTAACTTGATCCTTGATAGGTTTACTTGTCTCGTAAAATCGTGGTATGATTGTGAAACGGTAAAGGAAAGGAAGTTCAAGTTGGGATGGTCGTCTTGGAATTGTGAGACGCCCTTTAAAGTAACTTTTGCTGGGTGAAGAGATTGGATTGTAAGTGCTTACAGTCACAGGTATGATGGCGGTGTCCACTTCAGAATATAATGTATTATCAATTATTTATGACTAAATTTTGAAATGTTCTAGAAATATTAAATATAAAAGTAATTGAATATTTGTGGGTAGATTTTTGACAGATGATTTTAATGGGACGTTAATGTGTGTTATAATGAATATCATAAATTCTAAATGAAATATATTTATTTTCACGTAGAACATTTTAGTCACTCATACAAGTTTTTTTGGTTTTTTGTATTCATATTTTTTCACTTCCGTACTCTAGATTCGAAGATAGAGAAAATCTGGCAAGAGATTCTGTCATGGTTTTTTTTAATGCCAATTTGTTAACATAACGTTCGTTTATTTAATTAGGTATTTGTCATTTAAGTATTCGTTTAGTGAGTAATAAGCTTTTCTCAATTAATATGTTTTAACAGAGGTTTTGAATTTATTTAAAGGTAACTCTATGTAGAATATCGTTTGGTACCTTATTGCTTGTAGACCTATTGAATTTTTCTGAACGATATATAAGTTTTCATTAAATCTGGTATTAATGTTATAAACCCTATTAAAGTTATGACCCTGTCAGCCGTCATATATGCATATCATCTTTCACCTGATCAACTAGATTTTTCTTCAGTCATAAACTCCATTTTAGTCCATCTTTCATATTAAAAACCTTTA